CTACTAAGATTTGAAAGCGATTGACAGAAAAACGGCTACACTGCAAAGACCACCATTTTACAGAAGTCCGGGGCGTGTTATGTAATTGAAAGTTCGGGGTTAAAATGCTTTGAGAACACGACAAGGCAGGCACAAATGTGTGCATTCATATATTTTCACGACAGATTGCAATATTGATTCAATCGCGCATTTACCAATACACGATACCGCACCTGTTTGCATTCGTTTCACCGTGCACGCTAAATAGTCCTAGATGTAGAATACGTTCAAATGATAAACAAATGCACTGAAACACCTTTCGACAAAGGTGATCGAGCCGTACTGTGAACTTCGCTGTACCCAATGTATGATCACAGTTAAGTCGGAAAGGCAAAATCGCTAATAGACGTTGTTCGATTGTGCAAAGGTTGGTTTTAGGAGAAATTCATCAACAGAAAGCAGAGAAACGGTTTGAAAATCCTCGAAAACACTTGCATGGTGTTGGTGGTAGTTGCACTAATAGAAGTATTGAAACGTATTGATATTGGAAGGACGAATAAAAATGATTGAAAACAGTGGCAAGCATATAGCACAAACGAAACGAAAACACAACAAACTGAGTAGGCGAACAAACCAGAGTATCACATTCGTTTTAAACGAGGGGAATGCTTAGAGGCGACCGGGAATAGTTAGCCCGAAAGAAATTTGGAGTGTGAATAGATTATCAGCTCCGAAGCGGTTGGGATGGGAGGGCCAAGAGTGGTTTAACCTGACCGCGATTCAAACAGTGATCAGAAGGCGGTTTTACACTTCTTGATCTCGTTCATGATGTGATGAATGTTCACCAGCTGACTACGTACGGGCATATTTTTATACGGACTTTGACCCATGACCTGTTGAAATCGATGATAGTGCTGAACCAACTGAGCCAGTAAAGCCTTGATGATGAAAAGGGGAAAACAAATAACTGAATAAGTGACTGGGACAGTTTATTGGAAAGAGTGATACCGAAACGTGGCGGATAAGTCTATAATAGTGTGCAAGAATTGCAAAACCAGCGCATAAATTACGCAATATTGACCTAAGCCGATTTCAATACGATGAACGCTGATTTATATATTCATATATATGTACATACATATACATATATATACATACATAAATATATATATTTCATCTAAAGTAAACTGATTGGTGTCTGGACAACCACAGAGATTGAGACGCCGAACTCCCACAATTTGTGTCCACAATGGTTATCTACAGAGATCTGTGGATTGCAAGCAAGACTCTATTATCTGACTGGCGCTCTGATCAACTCAATCGTCTGTCTGCGGTCACTGAGGCTGCAGCTCCTAGTTTTACTAAAATTGGTTTACCTCTCAGTAGGATAACTGGGCCAAAAAGAAAGTACACTGTGCGTAAAAGGATTTGATGACTGGTGTGAAGTTAGCAAGAGTCACTTTCATGCAGGCAATTTATTTGCCACTCCTACTAGTCAACACCGATGAACACGGACCATGCTCTGCTACAACCAAGATTCTCCCTACGCCTGCCAAACAACCGGAAAAAAGCAACCGTCAACGGATACCCACGATGCGATCTCAGCGATTGTTACAAATCGGCCTTCGAAGCGAAGCTCACCGATCGCCTCTCAGTTCAACCACCAGCCGAAGGACTCAACGGACATTGGAAGTAAATCATGGGAGCTACGCAAATATCGATGAAAGCAATTTCGGATCCTATCGCAAGATTAAAACACAAACGATGGATCTCGTCAACATCGACTGCCCTGCTGGACGCCCACAGAACCATCCCTCCCGATGGCGCATATGACACAGAGTGCAACTCCCTTAAACGCCAAATCAAGAGTAATGCTGAGGTTAGGTGCAGAGTTTTAGGTAACTGCGGTCGCCTACTGGAGCAAGTGGTCAACTTGTATAGATTACGTTAGTTGGTGCATGACTTACGCATGCCACCAAATAGGTTGCCATCACAAATGATTTTCGCCCAGGCAGGTAGTGGGTGGAATAAAGCTAAGTGTGGTCAAGGTAACACCTAGTTTCACGGTATATATACATATTGGATAATAATAAGTAAATGAATGACTGGACAAAATTTCCCTGGAAGCACATGACCGCTTTCGCGGTTCTTGCCGCTCGCCAGGCATATATGTAGATATATATATATATATATATATATATATATATATATATATATATA